GCCACCTTGGGTGTACGTGGCTAGCGCCTTAGCCGGTTGAGCTATAGGCGCTGAGCCGAGTCCATTGCGTTTTCTTTCTACATGGAAGAAAGCTGGAGCTCTCCCACTCATCCACAGACTTCTGGCTTCCTTTCACAAGTATCTGTCTTTGGGTTGTTAGCTCACTTAATTTGCTGTAGGAAGGGCTCACTTCTCGGCCAGACCAGCCTGGGTTAGGCCCCCAGCTGCGTTTTACATACTTGCTCCCTGTTTCATGGAGGACAGTGTCCCTCTCACTCCATCTTAGAAATGTAACACAGAGATTTAAAAGGCGCAGTGGCTCATGTCTGTAATCCTAGCACTCTGGGAGGCTGAGGTGGGTGGATTGCCTGAGTTCACACTTTAGAGACCAACCTGAGTCAGAGCAAATCCCGTCTCTAAAAATAGCTGGGTGTTGTGGGTTCTGGCTACTTGGAAGGCTAAGGCAAGAGAAACACTTGAGCCCAAGATATTGAGGTTGCTGTAAGCTATGGTGTCATGGCACTCTTTTAAGGGTGACAAAGTGAGATTCTGTCTCAAAAAAAAAAAAAGAAAAAAAATCTTATCTCCCCTTCGACTCCTCATTATACCCATGACTGGCAACCTGTCCTTCTGTAAGAATGAGTCAAAGAGGATGGCACCTGTGGCTCAAAGGAGTAGGGCACCAGCCCCATATGCTAGAGGGGGCGGGTTCAAACCCAGCCCCAGCCAAAAACTGCAAAAAAAACAAAAAAAGAAGAGTCAAAGAGCAAAGTGAATTTTGATTTGCCAAAGTCAGAATTTCCTAGGCAGTAAAATACCAGCTCTCTCCCCTAAACTCATTTCCAGCCTCACAAATACATTTTGAGGAAAATAGACATGAAGATGTGCATTGACTAAACCACAGAGACTCTACAAATGTTCATTATCTTTCATTAAAAACTTCAAATTACAAACATTTGGGTTCATAAATAGTCAAGGAGGGTGGTGCACTTATTTCCTAACCCTGAAATCAAATATCCTGCCCTCCAGGGACTTTCACCAGTCCTCTTCAAAATCAGTATCTTCCCTCAACCCTATAGAGGAAGCTCAGCCCTCCTCCATTCCCTGAGTTCACATTTATTCAATTCTACAGGCCCCTTAGCCTGCCCACAACAGGACCAATCAACGTCCTGGGCAGGGGGGGGGGGGCAGAAAGGGTCAGTGGCCATCCCCCACTATGTGGAAGGAAGTGTTCCCAGGGTTTCCCATGTGGAGAGGAAGTTGGGCTTTTAGTCCTAATGGAAGTGATTTCCCTAAAGGGAAGTTGAGTTTGTAAAACACTAGTGTCTAAAGGAAGATGGAACTCTCTTTTAGACACCTCCAGCAGACCCTCTATAGACCTGTGGTCCTAAAGGCTGAGTCAAGGGCCTTCTACCCCTGTGGTAGGAGCACAATTCAGAGTATTCCATAGACACTGATTTTGACCACAGAGATGCTCTCTGTGTAGCGGTTCCGGCCTTTCTCGTACAAGACGTAGAGCTGTGGGCCCTGTTGCTCTCCATCAACACTGCCCTCCAGGGCTGCCAGGGATGAGTAGCCACTGGGCCCTGGCCATAGCTGGACCTTCTCTTTCTGCCAGGAAGTACCATTGCTGAAGCTCCAGCGCAGAGTCAGGTTCACTCCTGGGAAGAGCAGGAGGGTCAGGAAGGAAGGTCTCTACCCAGGCCTCATTTAGACCAGGGCCTCCCCCTGCTGACCCCACTGTCAGGCACTTACGGAACTCTGGATGGGCTGGGTTGGAGAAGAAGATAACGCCAGAGCTGGTGGCTACAGCTCCTGCGGCTACCACAGGGTCCACAAGCTCAGGGTCGAAGGTCACATCACGGGGTCTCAGTGTATCACAAGCATCATAGCTGCGGAGGACAATACGGCAGTGGCAGTGGTAGTTGTTCTGGTTTCGGGCATTGATGACAACTGAGCCGTCTGGGAGCTCATAGGGCTGAGGGGAGAGAACAGGACCTCAGGGAAAGTACAAGGCAAATGCCCAGGTCCTGAGGGAGCAAAGCCAGGTGGCATAGAGCTGGGCGGCATGGAGCTGGGCCAGCCACGTGTCTGTGGGTGAAATCGTCAAGTAGGTGGGGAACATCTCATGGACTCCTGACCTGACATTCATCAGGGTTGAAATCATTTTCCCGCTTGGGCTGGCCAAAAGGGATGCCGCTGACCCCACTCCCATAGCGCCAGGAAGCACCATGGTCATCACTGAGGAGACAGAAGACTCCATCCCGCTCTAGTGTCCCATGGCCACACACGATGAGACGGCCTTTCCTTGGCTCCCGCTGTTTCTGTGGGAAGGGAAGCTGGGTGTCAGAAAGGGAGACATTGTTGGACTCAGAAGCAGGGACATAAGGGTACAAGTGAACTTTTCTAGAACTAGAATATAAATGTTTTGACACAATGACTAAGCAAATGACCTGAAATCTATGTTAACCAGCTTGATGAAAGTATTTCAAATTGTATATAAAAACACTACACTGTACCCCATGTTTGCATTAATGTATACAGCTATCATTTAATTAAAAAAAAATAATTGAAATCTCAGAAGCAGGGACAGGGAACCTACTACCTCCCAAGTATGAGGACACATCTGATCCCTTTCAGTTCTGCCCTTGGGTCACTAAGGATCTTCCTACAAACACATCGATTGAATTAAGCATCTGTCATCAGAATATGCTACCTTAGTACATTCAGGGTGTACAGTTAGACATGTTGTTGCACACAAGTGGCCCAGTCACAAGGGTTCAAGAGAGCTTAAACCAACCTGTGCTCACTCTCCAAGCTGTGTATGCTATATCTGCCCAAAACAAGAGGTGCTTTTTTCTACTTTGCATGAAAGAACTGAATGGACAAGCCCCAAATGGGAAGCCAAAGGCAAAGTTCTCTCTTTACCTAGTGGGTGTTCATCCCAGGATGTCTCTCTTTTTCTTTCTTTTCTTTATTAGAGATAAGTCTCGCTATGTTGCCCAGACTGGTGTGCAGTGGATCCTGGCCTCAAGTGATCCTCCTACCTCAGTCTCTAGAGTAGCTGGGACTACAGGTGCATGCCACTACACTTGGCAAGGATGTCCTTTGTTTTCGAGGAATCCCACCCAAGACAGAAAGTCTGACTTCACAAGATCTTCCCTCTTGGGAAAGAGTCCATTTGGGGGCATCCTTCAGACGCTCCATAAGGCAGCCCCTCTTCCTTCTATCTCCCATGGCAGAGACCTGAATGCCTGAGCCCGGTCCAGGGGCAAACACTTCAGTGCCAATATCCAGGGAAAGATTCCGGGGTGGGCTCCAGGAAACACCATCATCCTTGCTCCATACCATCATGGTGGAGGCCACATTGCAGCCATCCTTGTGAGCACAGAGGGAGTAGAAAAGAAATACCACTCCTGTCTCATTATCGCTCACCACTGCCCCAAGGTTCAGTCCGTCTGGAGTCTCCCCATCATCTACAATGAACTCTGTTGGGGACCATGTGCTGCCTGAAAAAAAGGAGGCAGGAAGAAACCCAGAGTGAGCATCTGGAGGTACACTTTCTACCACTGCCTGTTAACTCTCCCAACTCCTGCTGGGGACCTGAGGCCTTGCAATAGCCCTGGGGTACAATCAAACACCAGCACTCTTATAGCCCCTGTTTTATTTTTCCTCCATTGCATTTACCTCTTTTCAACACAAGAAATTAATTTACTTATTTATTATGCTTGTTTGTCCCCTCCCATATATTAAGTCCTATGAGGATAGAGATTTTGCTATGTTTTTTATTTTTATTTTTTATTTACGTTTTTGAGACAGAGTCTTGCTTTGTTGCCCTGGGTAGAGTGGCTCACAGCATAGCTCATAGCAACCTCTTGGGCTCAAGCAATCCTTTTGCCTCAGCCTCCCCAGAGGCGGGGACTACAGGTGCCTATCACTATCACTACCAAAAATATATGTTTTTAGAGGTAGGGGTCTTGCTCTTGCTGGTCTCCAACTTCTGAGCTCAAGCAATCCACCTGCCTTGGCCTCCAGAAGTGCTACGATTACAGGCCTGCACCACCATGCTACCCCAAGGTCTGTTTTTAAATGGCTATATTCATAGAACCCAGAGCAATGCCAGCTATGTAGCTGTTACTCAACAAATATTTGTTGAATGAACATTCAACTCCTTGATGACCACAATTTCCAGATCACTGCACTGGACACTTTCCTTCCTTGGGTTCCCCCAACCTTTCAGGGTCCCAGGTGTACAGCCTTCCAAGTTCCCCTATCTACAGGGCCCTTGGGCCCCTCGGATTTCCCACCCATCCAATCCACTGTGACATCTTTATACCTTGGTTTGTGGACCTCCGCAGGGCAATGAATTTGGCCCCTTTATCGGATGAGGACATTTTTCTAGCCTCAGCAAGGGCCAGGAGAGTGCCCTGAGGAGTGGTTGTGATGAGCGGAATGCGGAAGGTGTCCACTGAGCCTATCTGTCTCCCGCTTACCCACAGCAGTTGCTCCATAGTCACCAGTGGCTGCACCTGCCACAGGAAGAGGAAGGGTCAAAACGGACAAACTATTCTTGGGGTTTTAGGACGGACAAATATCCACTTGAGCTCAGGTATCCATGGGAGAGGGAGGATTTGGGGAATCTCGAGCAGGGGCTGGAGTCCTATGACAATAAAGGGGAACCCAAAGAGGGAGTGAAGGTGGCGGCTTAGAACGGGGGAAAGGCTATGAGGGGAGGAACCCTCAGGGAGAAAAGGGGACCCCCCAGAAGAGGATGGGGCACGAATGAAGAAGATGGGACGGGAGAGGGGAGGAGGAGAGGGGTTGGGAGCGGATGGAGGGACCCGGGTCTGGGAGAAGGGAGAGAGTCATGCTGCGGAGAGGTGGCTTGTATAGTCGCCCGCGTCCCGGGGGACACTGGGCATCCGCTACCCTCGTAGGTCGAGTATAGGACTATTCGAGGGGGTGACTCACCAGATCGAAGTCATCCTCAGCCCTAGTCTCCAATTCTGCCACAGACAACAGCAGCAGGAAGATCGCAGCAAACACCTGAACCCTACAGCCTCCCCAAAAGCCCAGCATTCGCGGTCCCCGGGGTCTGCCTAAGAGCGCTGCGCCCGGCCTCTCCCCAGTCATCTCTTCGCTCGGCCGCAGCGACCCTGGCCACTGGACTACATACACAGGATGAGTCAGTCAGCTGACCCGGACCCTTTAAAGCCCCGATCCAACCCTGTTCCTCTCCTCAACCTTCCTCCATATGATCTTGCAGGGCCTCAAAGCTGGCCCTTCCCATTGGCCCCAGAGCGCGTGACTCGGGCGGGAGGCTAACCCGCCGGGAGAGGAAAGGGGATAGCGTCACCTGAATGACCCCTTTGATTGGCTGCGGCTCCAGAACGTGTCACAGGGGCGGGGCAGGTTTTAAAGAGCCCGGGTGGGGGAAAAAAAGGCAGCTCTTAGAGAGGTGGAGTGAATGAGAAGTCACGGACTTGGCTCCGCGCCTGTGGCTCAAGTGGCTGGGGCACCAGCCACATACACCTAGGGTGGCGGGTTCGAATCCAGCCCGGGCCGCCAAACAACAATGATGGCTGTAACCAAAAAAAATGGCCGAGCGTTGTGGTGGGCACCTGTGGTCCCAGCTATTTGGGAGCCTGAGGCAGGAGACTCGCTTGAGCCCAGGAGGTTGGAGGTTGCTGTGAGCTGTGATGCCACAGCACTCTACTCAGAGGGATAGCTTGAGGCTCTGTCTCAAAAAAAGAAAAAGAAAAGTCACGGACTTAATGAGAAAACAAAATATCAACTTTTAATAAAATCTTTTTATTACAAAATTGAGATCTGTAAGGCGAAATAAGGATGGGCGTTTGTACAGGCGCGGTGCAATCCTGGATCAAAGCCTAGATCTCTCACTTCTTCCTCTTCTTGTTCGCCTGGGGCACCTCGTTCTTCTTGCCCAGAATCTTCAGAAGGGCCTTGGACATGTAGTAGGGCCGGTCCACGGAGCCGTCGTTACGCTCCAGGTCTTCCACTGAGCCGCAACAGAGACCAGTTAGGGCGGACTCTGGGGGCCGCCCGCAACCCCCGGGAAATCCGGGACTGGGAGGCCGCTGGCTGCACCACCACCGCCGCCGGCTGGAATTTTTTTCGAGGCGGCTTTTGTAATCTCAGTTTCCTCATGTAAAGTAGAGTAGGTAATACTATATTTTAGAGCAGGCGTCCTCAAACTACGGCCCGCGGGCCACATGCAGCCCGCCTAGGACCTTTATCCGGCCTGCCGGGTGTTTTTGCCTCCGCTGCCTGTCCTGCTTAGCAGCCGACTCGTCCCGGGGCCCACAGTCCGGCCCTCCAACGGTCTGAGGGACAGTGAACTGGCCCCCTGTTTAAAAAGTTTGAGGACCCCTGTTTTAGAGTGATAAGGACCAACAGAAAAAATGCGTGTTGGTCAAGCAGAGCATGCCACATACCAAGCCCTGAACGGATATACATAATAGGATAAGAAAATCACGTCTCACTACAGCCACCTGCTGGGAAGTCTCTCTCGTTGCTAACTTCTACCCTTGACTTCCTGGGGAAAGACCAGAGAATCCTCCCCACAGGCATGTTCCCCTCCTTTCTTTTGCAAACCACTGGCTTTAGAATATCACAGACATCCTCTGGCTCTTTTAACTCACAAAGTTGCTGTTTCTAGAAGTACCAAATCTCCAGAAAAGCCTTAAGAGTCCACTACTTGGAGGTTGTGGGGAGGTGTCTGGGGGTGTCACTCACAGAAACAGAGGAAGAGTGTGTCCACACACATGCCGAAAACGCTGAAGAAGCCACTGGCGATGACATAGGCCCCCACGATGGAGGTCTGGAAGACATAGGGCCTGTTGGGCTGCTGGGTTCCTTTGGGGAGTTGGGGGAGGGGTAAGGCAGGGAGAGGAGTCACTCACCATGATGGGCAGCCAGTAATAATTGAGGTGGGGGTTCTCAAAGGCTTTACTCAGCCCCTGGATGCGACCGGAGAAAAAGAAGAAGGACAGGACTCCTGTGGGAGAGTTCTGGAAGTCAGGGCAGCTCCTCTGAGGTCACTTAGGCTGCCCAGTGCCTCTACCTGCTGCTCCTGCAGCCCCTGGCCCTGGTCCTTACCGACGCCTCCAACCACCAGCAGCTTCCCAAAGAACAGCAGCAGGTCTGTGACTTTATCCAGGACAACCACCCTATACCGGAAGTTAGGGCAGGGAGAGGAGGAAGTTAGGTTGGGGGTGAGAGGCTTGGCAAAGCTGGGAGCAGAACTGACTACCTAATTGTGAGGACCCATGTGAAATGAAAAGTGTTCACATTTCAAGACAGCAGATAGTAGAGCATTAAGTGAAGTGTGGGGCCTTTCTGAGCCCAGCATGTCCATGAAGCCAGCCTTGGGTGGGAGATCTGAGGTGGGAACCACATGGGGGTGGGGGACCACCTAACCTGACAATGTTACGCATAAGCAGCATGAAGGCATTTTTGGCTGAGACACAGAAATTCTTCCCGTAGATGGCGATCTGAGAGGCAGGAAGGTCAGAGTTATCTGTGGTAAGCTTGCCTGAACCAGGACAGGGGTCTTGGGCCAAGGGGCACTCAAGTGAGGGGTTGCTTGCATAGGGCTGCTCACCATGATGTATGCATTCCGGTTTAGGAACTTGATAAACTTTTCCAGACACCAGAGGCAGCATTTGAAGCAGCACATGATACAGCGGGCTATAGGGTTCTGCACTCCTGGGAGCAAGGAAAGCTCATATTTGGTCAATGGTCTCTGACAGCCTCTCCAGCTACTCAGGCTGCCCTTCCCAGCTCCTGCCTCTGGGGCTCACCTCTCAGCTTGTGGTCTATGTACTCCAAGATGACACGGGCTATTTGCACAAGGGTCAGGATGAGGGCTCCAAATGCCAGTGACCCGGTGTGGTAACTGCACAGGGAGTTAGATAGTCAGGGGCAGCACCTGGACCCCTGGGACCCCCATGGTTACAGTTCCCAGGCTTACCGGAGTGTGCGGACAAAGGCAGAGCTCAGGGGGAAGGTGGGGATGTCCCGGGGCTTGTGCAAGGCCCAGTAAAAGGAGGCAAAGGCTCCAGCTAGGACGCACTGGCCCAGTGCCAGTACCCAGTTAAGGGTCCAAAAGAGCCCCACGACTGCATAGATTTGTAGGTTGAAGAGAGAACGTTGTGCTGGGCCTGTGGACAGGTAGCCCTGGAAGACGCACATCAGCCCTGGGCATGAGGAGTTCATAGTCTGGGCCTGGTGCAAGTAGAGAGATAGAATAAGCTCAGGCTCAGCCTTCAGAGACCTCACTGAGGAGCCCTGGCCTCCTCCTGTTCTTAGCTAGCTCCTGCCCTTCCCAGAGTAGAAGAGGTAACAGCATCCCTGAGCTGGAGGAGCCATTTCCTTTCAGGAGTTCCATCTCTAGTGTTAAACCGGGTTAGGTCTGCTTTATTGTGTGAGTGGGCTTAGCTCCCTTCAGTGTCCCAATGATGAGAGCTTCCAGGCTCTGTGGGCCATGCCTTCATGACATTCCTGGTGGGTGTGAAGGTGACATTACTTTTTTTGTGCACTCAGCACTCTCCTCCCCAGAGCAGCCTCTACAACTTCTACCAAACGCTTTCCAGCAAATTGAACAGACATTTGATAACATTAAGAAATTACCGTTAGGCATGGCTCGGCGCCAGTAGCTCAGAGGCTAGGGCGCCAGCCACATACACTGGAGCTGGTGGGTTCGAACCTGGCTGAGACTGCCAAACAATGACAAGTACATCAAAATATCCAGGTGTGGTGGCCGGCACCTGTAGTCCCAGCTACTTGAGAGGCTGAGGCAAGAAAATCGCTTAAGCCCAAGAGTTGGAGGTTGCTGTGAGCTGTGACACCATGGTACTCTACCCAGGGCGACAGCTTGAGACTCTGTCTTAAAAAAAATAAAAAATAAATTGGGCAACATAGTGACTCTTTCAAAAAAAAATCTTTTAGTGTGTTAGAGGTATTTCTTAATAAACTAAAATAAATTAGTAGGCTCTGCGCCTGTAGTTCAGCAGTTAGGGCACTGGCCATATGCACCAGGGCTGTCTGGTTTGAACCTGGACTGGGCCTGCTAAACAACAATCACAACAACAACAACAAAAAAATAGCTGGGCATTGGGTGGTGCTCAAAGGAGCAAGGTGTTGGCCCCATATGCCTGAGATGGTGGGTTCAAACCCAGCCCCGGCCAAAAATGGCAACCCCCCCAAAAAAACAAATAATAATAAAAAAATAGCTGGGCATTGTGGCAGGCGCCTATAGTCCCAGCTACTTGGGCGGCTGAGGCAAGAGAATCCCTTAAGCCCAAGAGTTGGAGGTTGCTGTGAGCTGTGATGCCACATCACTCTATCCAGGGCGACAGCTTGAGACTCTCTTAAAAAAAAAATAAAAAAGAAATTGTTAATTTTGTTGGGTATGATAATGGTAGATAATGGTATAGTGGTTATGCTTTTTATTTTTTATTTATTTTATTTATTTTTTTGAGACAGAGTCTCATTATGTCACCCTCGGTAGAGTGTCGTGGCATCACAGCTTACAGCAACCTCAAACTCTTGGGCTTAAGCAATTTTCTTGCCTCAGCCTTCCAAGTAACTGGGACTACAGGTGCCCGCCACAATGCCTGGCTATTTTTTTGTTGCAACTGTCATTGTTGTTTTAGCTGGCTGGGGCCAGGTTTGAACTGGCCAGCCTAGGTGTATGTGGCCAGCGCCCTACCAACTGAGCTATGGGTGCTGTCCATTTTTTATTTTTATTTATTTATTTTGAGACAGAATCCCAAGTTGTCACCCTGGGTAGAGTGCTGTGGTGTCACAGCTCACAGCAACCTCCAACTCTCGGGCTTAAGCGATTCTCTCGCTTCAGCCTCCCAAGTAGCTGAGACTACCGGTGCCTGGCTATTTTTTTTTTTTTATTGTAGTTGTCATTGTTTGGCGGTCCCTGGCTGGATTCAAACCCACCAGCTCTGGTGTGTGTATGTAGCTGGCACCCTAGCTGATTGAGCTACAGGCATTGAGCCTATTTTTATTTTTTTGAGACAGAGTCTCACTATGTCACCCTCAGTAGAGTGTCAAGGCATCACAACTCACAGCAACCTCCAACTCTTGGGCTTAAGTGATTCTCTTGCCTCAGGCTCCCATGTAGCTGGGACTACAGGCATCCACCACAATGCCCAGCTGTTTTTTGTTGTTGTTGCAGTTGTAGTTGTTTGGCTGGCCTGGGCTGGGTTTAAATCTGCCAGCCTCAGCTTTTCTGGCTGGTGCCCTAAGCACTGTGGGCGCCGAGCCTGGTTATGCTTTTTAAAGGTTCTTATCTATTGAGATCCATCCTAATATATTTACTGGCGAAATGGCATGATATCCAGAATTTGATTTAAAAAACTCAAAAGAGGCTTGGTGCCCATAGCACAAGAGGTTATAGCCCTAGCCATATACACCGAAGGTGGTGGGTTCAAACCTGGCCTGAGGGGTGGTGCCTATGGCTCAAAGGAGTAGGGCACCAGCCCCATATACCGGAGGTGGTGGGTTCAAACCTGGCCCGGGGGCTCGGCGCCTGTGGCTCAAGCAGCTAAGGCGCCAGCCACATACACCCAAGGTGGCGGGTTCGAATCCCCAGTCCGGGCCCGCCAAACAACAATGATGGCTGCAACCAAAAAATGGCCTCGCGTTGTGGCGGGCGCCTGTGGTCCCAGCTACTTGGGAGGCTGAGGCAGGAGACTCGCTTGAGCCCAGGAGTTGGAGGTTGCTATGAGCTGTGATGCCATGGCACTCTACCCAGGGGGATAGCTTGAGGCTCCGTCTCAAAAAAAAACCAAACCTGGCCCAGCGCCAAAAACTGCAAAAGAAAAAAAAAGTAAAAACCAAACCTGGCCTGAGCCAGCTAAACAACTGCAACAAAAAAATAGCCGGGCATTGTGGCAGGCACCTGTGGTCCCAGCTACTCAGGAGTCTAAGGCAAGAGAATCACTTAAGCCCAAGAGTTTGAGGTTGCGAGCTGTGACACCATGGCACTCTATCGAGGGAAACATGGTGAGACTCTGTCTCAAAAAAAAAAAAAAAGAAAGAAAAAGAATTTATGGTGGAGGGTGGGGAGAATGATGAAATAAGAATGGCAGGAAGTTGAAGGAATCTGGGTACAGGGACTCACTGTACTATTCTACTTTTGCATGTGTTTATAATACACAAAAAACAACGGGCAGGGCAGAACCTGTGACTCAAAGGAGTAGGTGCCGGTCACATATGCCAGAGGTGGCAGGTTCAAACCCAGCCTGGGCCAAAAAAAACCAACGGGCACATTGCACCAGTATATTGCATACTTCCTGGGTGACGATTACCACTACAATCTGGACTAATCTTACAAAAGCAAACTATATAATCAATTGTATGTACCTCCATCTTACCCTGAAATTCAAAAAAATAAAAATAAATAAAAAACACTTCCTAGCAAATGTGACTTCCCAAATCCTGCTTATTTCTGAGTCTATGTTTGACTCCTGCCTATAATCCTAGCACTCTGGGAGGCTGAGGGGGGTGGATTACTTGAGCTCAGGAGTTTAACACTAGTGTGAGCAAGAGTGATACCCTGTCTCTATTAAAAATAGAAAAAAGTAGCTGGGAATGGTAGCTGGTGGCTATAGTCCCAGCTGCTAGGGAGGTCGAGGCAGGAGAATCGCTTGAATCCAGGATTTAGAGGTTGCAGTGAGCCATCATGATGCCACTGCACTCTAGCCAGGTAACAGAGGAGACCCTGTCTGAAAAAAACAAAAAAAATCCCAACAACACCCCCCCCAAAAAAAACCCAGCAACTTTCCACACTCTGTAATTGTGGGTTTGCCCATTTTCATTGCTAGATCATGAGCAACTGGAAAACAGAAACCATGTCATCATTTGGGGGGCTTTGTTTGCCCAGTGCCTGGCACATAGTAGGTCCTCCATAAACATAAACGAGCCTTCCTTTTCTTACCGGGCACAGCCCATGGTCTCAGCTTATTAGATGAAGGGAAGACATGACAGTTTTGAGGACCGTGAATTCGCAGTCCAGTACCAGTCCTTGGAAACCTCACAGGGGAGGTTTGGGAAGCAGCTTCTCTCTCAGCCACTGGGAGTCCCCTGGGAGTCCCACCTTGCTGCTGCCTAGGGCACTGTGTTCCCAAGGGGAAAGAATTAACAAAACAACTCAACCAGTTATCAAGCTGTTATCAGGTGCCAGGCACAGCACTTTTTGTGCCCCAAGTCTAATCTTCTCAGCCACCCAGACATACTGGAATTAATGATCATCTCCATTTTATGGGAGCAGGCTGAGACTCAGAGGGTGAAGTGGTTAATGGTCCTGAAGGTAGGGGAATGTCCTAGTGAAGGGAAGAATAAATTCAGGTATCTAGGCCCGAGGGACCCCGCTTTCAGGCACAGCCTGCCACATCTCCCAGCCTCAGTTTCCCTCCCTACATAATGGGCAGCTCAGCAAGAGGAATACCAGGGGACTGGCTCCTCCAGCTGTGCATGGAGAGCTTGTACGTGACTTTGAGTGAGCCCTTTGCCCTGCTTGGCCTCAATCTCTTCTGCATAATGAAGGATTTGGACCAGTTCCTCCGTAAAGTCCCCTCAGTCTATTGGTGGCCCCTCCATGTTCACTCCCCGCCTCTCACCATGGGGTCGCACGATGTATTCACTCCCACTTTCTCACAGTTGGGTGAGCTGGCATTGGGTGCCCATAAGACATACTGGGGTTGCCCTGAAGTGGCCAGGTACCTAGAGGAGAGTCAAGGAAGGCATGTCATATGCAGTCTGCACAGTTGCTCCTTAGGGGTCTGCTTCTGGTGCTTGTGCAGGTGGGTCCCCACACAAAGTGGGCTAAAGTTCAGCCTGTGCTCACCCTTTCTGTGTCTGCACAGAGAAAGGGACAGCCTCTTCCACTTATACTGAGGCACTGTGTGGACAAATTATCTCGTTCCCCCACCGCCAGGACTCCGGGAAATGGTTATGTGGACAAAGGATACAGAGCAGTCACGGCCCAGTAGGCGATACAGATGAGCAGGAGGACAAAGGTGACCAGCGGGTAGAACATGGTAGACATCATGTGTCCCACAGCCCTGCAGGGAGACAAGCAAGGTATCCACCAGGAAGGTTCGGCTGTCCCATCTTCCCAAGGGGCTGATCCTGACATGGAGCCCACCTCTGCCGTTGCCAGGGCCTGTTCCACTCCCTCAGACCCCAGGGTGGGAGTAACTGGGGCAGAGACTTTGACTTTTATACCTGTGTACCCAGGAGCTCAGGGCTGGGCACACAACAGGTGCTCACCAAATGAACTAAACTGAATGAATTAGGTTCAAGGCACCTGGGGCAGCTTCAGGGGGACTAAGTTTAGAGCTCCGAAAGTGTGATCTCTTGACAGACTGGGCAGCTCCTGGTTGGGAGTAAACTGCTGCTTCTCCTCCCCATCTGGATTCCCCACATTCCCCCAACCACCACCACCATTCCTGCCAAGGCACATCAGGCCCCAACTCAATAATACGCACAACCCAGTAAGGGAGGAGCTGTTACTCCCCTGTTTTATAGATGGAGAAATTAAGGCTCAGATAAGCTAAGTTATACAACAGTGTTAACAGCTGCGCTATTCTGTTCTTTTCCTCTGGGGCTCCCTGGCACCCCCATCCTGGGCTTGCACTGCCCTCAGCCCCATCTCCTTCCCAGGTAGGCCCTAACTTGCTGGCCTCTGTCAGGAGGGCAATGGCGATGCGAATCCGCTGTCGCAGGAAGAGGAGCATCAGTAGCAGGATGCCTTCAAGCACAGCCAGCACGATCACTGCAGGGGATAGGGGTGGAGGGTTCTGGGTCAGGGTCAGGGTCAGACGGGCTCAGGGCAGTCCTTAGGACAGGCAGGGCACTCACAGGCAACCAGCCAGGTCTCCTTCACACTTTGGTAGGCACTGATGTTGGTGGTGAAGCCCAGTTGGGAGATGGAGGCACCTTTGTCCCTCAGCACTCGGTACTCTTCCCAGCAGTAGTAGATGCCATATGCCAGCACACCCAGCACCCCTAGGATCAGCACCAGCACTAGGGGCCCGGCCACCAGGCGCAGAAGCAAGATAAATAGTAGGCTCAGGACCAGAGCCACACCTAGGGCACTGCAGGCAGGTGAGAAAGGTTGAGGGTCACCTCTGGTTCCCTAAATCATTTTCCTCAGAGACTTCCAAATGCCTTTCCTTGTACCATCCAATATCCTCAGATTAGACCCCTTTTCCCTTATAAATCCTGTTGGGCTTGGGGTCCATTCTGAACTCTGGCTCCTCCTCCTCTGTCCAAAGCCTCTGCTTCAGACATTGGGCTAAGGGATAGGGGATCAGGGAAGGGAGAGGGCAAGGGCAAGCGAGTAGGAGAAAATCTGGTGACTCACACAAGAATCCAGTACCAGGATTGGGCAAAATCTTCAAAGATCTTAACACTGATGTCTCGGGCATTGAGGCTGTCGATAAGACCACTGTTGAGGAGAGACAGAGTCAGATGGGGCTGTGAGTGGGAAGGGGTCGGGGACAGCAACATGGTGGGAGAAGAAGATGCCTACCTGATGCCCTGGGAGATGTTGCCGGTAATCCCTGGAAGTTCGGGTGGAGTAACATTGGACCACGGAAAGCAACGTCCCAGAGCTGGAAGGAAGAAACAAGATGCTATGCTAAGTGGGAGGGCCAGGGCTTCACCTAGTAGGTCTCTGGCCCCTCTCCCAGCCCACCTATGCCCTCAGGGGAAGGAGTGATGGACTCTGCTACCACCAGAGGCTGCTCTGGATTCCACCACCAAACAGGAGCTCCTGCTCTGTAGGTCCTGTCCACCTTCATTTTCCCTCCCCACTGCCTTGCTTCAGACCCTGCTGGCCTCTGGCCTCAGTAACTCTTACAACACCTTGCCACCCATCAATCTGCTCTGCGTCCGTATGCCAGGGAGACCATGGCACAGCATGGACTTCATTACTCCAGATCTCTAGGCCCCTCTGCTGCTTGAACATCTCCAGAGCCTCTACCTGGAGACAGTGCCCATGTTCCCTGGTCAGCCTTCCAGGCTCTACCGTTTGAGTCCTGTCCACTTTCCTTTCACTGCTATATCTTTCTCTTGGTGTGCCTCTCTCTCAGTGCCCCCTCACGTCCAGAATCCCATCCAGTATTCTCTGTCCAGCTCTCGCTCCATCTCACCTCCTCTAGGAAGCCTTCCCAGCCCATCCCTATCTCCTGTGGCACCTGTTGTGTGCATACAGAGCCATTTATTGGCATTCTTACAACTTTGTCAGGCAGGCTTGCTTTGGCATTTACATTCTAAAGATGAAGAATCAAGGCTTGGAGAGGTTGAACAATTGGCTCATGACCACACAGCTGGAAAGTGCTGGAATTTAAATCCAGATATACTTGACTTTGGAGCATTCACTTGCAATATATCCTGTTATACTTTGAGAACTGGGTATCTTTTCTCATGCTATAAAGTTTTAAAATATATTTTCCAGGCTCGGTGCCTGTGGCTCAAGTGGCTAAGGCACCAGCCACATACACCTAAGGTGGTGGGTTCAAATCCAGCCCAGGTCCGACAAAACAACAATGACGGCTGCAACCAAAAAAAAAAAACAAAATAACTGGGCATTGTGGTGGGCGCCTATGGTCCCAGCTACTTGGGAGGCTGAGGCAGGAGACTCGCTTGAGCCCAGGAGTTGGAGGTTGCTGTGAGCTGTGATGCCACGGCATTCTACCCAGGGGGATAGCTTGGGGCTCTGTTTCAAAAAATAAATAAATAAATAAAATAAAAATATATATATTTTTTCTAGGGCTAGGCATGGTGGCTCATGCCCATAATCCTAGCACTCTGGGAGGCTGAGGCGGGTGGATTGCCTGAGCTCAGGAGTTGGAGACCAGCCTGAGCAAGAGTGAGACCCTGTCTCTAAAAACAGCTGGGTGTTATGGTGGGTGCCCATACTCCCAGCTACTTGGGAGTCTGAGGCAAGAGGATCACGTGAACCCAAGAGTTTGAGGTCGCTGCAAGTTATGACACCATAATACTCTACCCAGGATAATAAAATGAGACTCACTATCTCACTATGTTGCTCTTAGTAGAGTGCTGTGCCATCACAGCTCACAGCAACCTCAAACTCTTGGGCTTAAGCGATCCTCTTGCCTCAGCCTCCCAAGTAGCTAGGACTACAGGTGCCCACCACAATGCCCAGCTATTTTTTGTTGTTGTTCTTGTCATTGTTGTTTAGCAGGCTGGTTTGAACCCCCCAGCCCCAGTGTATGTGGCTGGCACCCTAACCACTGAGCTATGGGCGCTGAGCCAAAAAAAATCTTTTCTATTACAAAAATGATATTTAGGCCCAGCATGGTGGCTCACGTCTATAATCCTAGAACTCTGGGAGGTCAAGGTGGAAGGATTTCTTGAGCTCAGTAGTTTGAGACCAGCCTGAGTAAGACTAAGACCCAGTCTCTATTAAAAAAGATAAAACAGGCTCGGCACCTGTGGCTCAAGTGGTTAAGCCACCGGCCACATACACCTAAGTTGGAGGGTTTGAATCCAGCCCAGGCCTGCCAAACAACAATGATGGCTACAACCAAAAAATAGCCGGGTGCCTGTGGTCCCAGCTACTTGGGAGGCTGAGGCAGGAGACTTGCTTGAGCCCAGGAATTGGAGGTTGTTGTGAGCTGTGACGCCATAGCACTCTACCCAGGGGGACAGCTTGAGGCTCTGTCTCTAAATAAATAAATAAATAAATAAAAGATAAAACAAGCTGGGCATTGTAGCAAGGGCTGTAGTCTCAGCGGCTCAGGAGGCTGAGGCAAGAGGATGGCTTGAGCCTAAGAGTTTGAGTTTGCTATGAGCTATGATGACACAGCACTCTACTCAGGGTGACAGCTTGAGACTCTGTCTCAAAAAGAAGAAAAGAAAACAAGCTGTGTGACTTTACTTTCTTTGGGTCTAATTTCCTCATTTAAGATTCGGTTAGATGATGGCTGAGGAAGGAATCTGTGCATCTTACCTGGAGTAGAGGGGAGGAGGAAACTGGGGCAGAGTTCCTGTTGCAGGCTTTTGAACACTTGCTATATATGTGGGAGGACAGACAGACACAGAGCAGGATGAAGTGGGTTCCTTCACCACCACCACACTGGGGGGGCTCAGCCTCTCCCACCCTCTCTAGGAAAGCCAACCTGGTGATCATCTATTCAACTTCTCCCACCCCCACCCACTGTAGGCCTTCCTGACAGAGATGGTGTTGGGGCAGCTCACCATATCCTGGGGCACCCCTGGCAGACAAAAGTTCCTATTTTTAGTATAGAAGACTTCGCCAACTGTTTGCCAGAACTGGTTCTCTGCCACGGTCCATGAGGTTTCTGGGCAGGAGGACACACACACCTGGGAGCAGAGATCATGCTAAGGGGCTGGTACCTGAGACCCTGGGGCAAATCTGGGGTGGAGGCAGGTCCCAGGACCTGACCTGGGGTGTGGGGCACTGTAGGCCATTCTCAGCGACTGTGATGATGTTGGTGGCCAGGATGCAGCTGAAGATGTTGAAGTACAGGAGATATGGTTTATCTCTGCAGGAGGGGAGGAAGCATATGTATCATGGCCTGGCCAGCTGTTGGGGGAGGAGAGGGACTACTAGGGTGGTCCCCAAGACAAGAGTGGGTCCAGCATGGCCCAGAAGAGTCACACCAAGCTCCCAGCTCTGTCTCAGCTGGTGAGGTAGGGAAGACATGGGGAAGTTTTCTCCGAACAATTCAGCACTTGAGAGCATGAACTTTGGAGCTACATACCTCTTACCAGTTTTCTGACCTTGAGCAAAGTCATAATTGGGGTTAAAATGAGTTCAAGTGTGTAAAGTATATTGCATGCCTAGAGCAAATGCTATATAAATATTAGAAGTTTCTTTCTTTTGAGACAGATTCTCACTTTGTCACCCTCAGAAGAGTGCCGTGATGTCACAGCTTACAGCAACCTCCAACTCTTGGGCTCAAGCGACTCTGCTGCCTCAGCCTCCCAAGTACCTGAATTACAGGTACCCACCACCATGCCTGCCTATTTTTAGAGATGAGGTCTCCCTCTGGTTTAGGCTGGTCTCAAACCTGTGAGCTTAGGCAATTCACCTGCCTCAGCCTTCCAGAGTGCTAGGATTATAGGCGTGAGCCACCACAACTGGCCCTTAGAAGTTTCATTATTTATTGAACATTTCCTGCATTTAAGAACTGATGGCATCATTCTTGGATTCATCCTCCAGTTTCAGACAAGGAAATCAAATCTCAAACAGGTTGAGTGACTTGCCCAAGGCCATACAACCAAAGCTTGGTCCCACTGGGTATCCAAACACCAGTCTCAGAAATCTAAAATCCATGCACTTAACATGACTCTAATTGCTTCCCACTTCTGGGGCATTCAGAGGCTAACCGCCCAGCTGTGGTTCTTAGTCTGGACTGCAGTGGTCCAACTCAGGCAGGCTGAGGGTGGAGTGGGAACAACAGGGAAGGGATGTGGAAAAGCATGGCCAGGTCTGGAGTCTGAGCTGAGGGGGTGTCTCTTGGCTGGCCCCACCTCACCTCCCTCCTACCCACCTTTGTACTCACTTGTTCTCCCCTATCCCACAGTAGGCCCCGGTAGAGTTCCTGGGGTACAGGACTTGCCGGGGATCTCCATACATCCAGGCTGAAGACAGAGACACATAGACAACTCAACAGAGGGAGCAGCAGTAGGTGCAGTACCCACCCTGGGTTACTGCCCCTCACTCACCACCCCAGTGCTGAGCAGCTGGGAACTCACCCACAATCCCCACCACAATGTAACCCAAAATGAAGAGCAGGAAGAGGATACAGCAGATGACATCTGTGCAGCTCCTGAGAGAGAAATGAGAGTGTGAGCTTTCGAAGCCTTTGAGGATCTGATGCTGGGGGCATGGTCTGGATGGGTCACAAGTTGGAGAATTATGGGATGCTGGAGAATGGGCATCAATAGGTCATGAGTTGACTCATGTTTTCATGCCCAAACATTGTTGACTGGTCACAAGTTAACTCATGTTTGTTCTTGCATTAGCTATTGAAATTATTGTTGTTTTGTTTTGAGACACAGTGTCAAGCGGTTGCCCTGGGTAGAGTGCCATGGTGTCACCGCTCTCAGCAACCTCAAACTCTTGGGCTTAAGTGATTCTCTTGTCTCAACCTCCCAAGTAGCTGGGATTACAGGCACCTGCTACAATGCCCAGCTATTTTATTTGTTGCAGTTGTCATTGTTGTTTTAGCTAGCTCTGGCTAGGTTCGAACCCGCCAGTCTCAGTGTATGTGGCCAGAGCCCTACCCACTGGCTACAGGCACCGCCAGCTATTGCAATTTTTAAAACACAGGGTAATGTAGGATATTATAAAAGCTTTCTTTTTTTTTGAGACAGAGTTTCACTTGGTCACCCTTGGTAGAGTGCTATGACTTCACAGCTCACAGCAACCTCAAACTCTTGGGTTCAGGCTCAGTGCCTGTGGTCAAGTGGCTAAGGCTCCAGCCACATACACCTAAGGTGACAGGTTTGAATCCAGCCCGGGCCCACCAAATAACAATGACAGCTGCAACCAAAAACTAGCTGGGCATTGTGGCCGGCGCCTGTGGTCCCAGCTACTTGGGAGGCTGAGGCAGGAGACTCGCTTGAGCCCAGGAGTTGGAGGTTCCTGTGAGCTGTGATGCCACAGCACTCTACCCAGGGTGATGGCTTGAGGCTTGGTCAACCCAAAAAAACTCTTGGGTTCAAACGATCCTCTTGCCTCAGCCTCCCAAGTAGCTGGGACTACAGGCACCTGGCACAACACCTGGCTATTTTTCTTTCTTTTTTCTTTTTTTTCTTTTTTTTTGAGACAGAACCTTAAGCTGTCACCCTGGGTAGAGTGCCATGGCATCACAGCTCACAGCAACCTCCAACTCCTGGGCTCAAGCCAGTCTTCTTCCTCAGTAGGAAGTAGCTGGGACCACAGGTGCCTGCCACAACGCCCGGCTATTTTTTTGGTTGCAGCGGACATTGTTATTTGGCGGGCCTGGGCTGGATTCGAACCCACCACCTTAGGTGTATGTGGCTGGCACCTTAGCCACTTAGCCACAGGCGCCGAGCCCGAAGAATGTTTTAATGAATTATATGTACATGCTTTATCTGATTGTCTGAGTGATTTTGAAATATTCTGTAGTGATCTGGAAGATGATAGTTTATTGGAAGATAGTTATGAATCTGATTTTAGACCACCAAAATGGCAAAAAAGGAAATGTAATAGAATCTGATAATGAAAGTGATTTTGTTCTTTTTCTTTTCTTTTTTTTTTTTTTTGTAGTTTTTGGCCAGGGCCAAAAGTATATGGGGCTGGTGCTCTACTCCTTTGAGCCACAGGCACTGCCCATGAAAGTGATTTTGAAGAAGAGTGGATTTTTCTTTTTCTTGTTTGAGACAGAGACTCAAGCTGTCACCCTGGGTAGAGTGCGTCATAGCTCACAGCATCCTCTAACCTGGGTTCAAGTGATCCTCTTGCCTCAGTTTTTCTATTTTTAGTAGAGATGGGGTTTTGTTGCTCAGGCTAGTCTCAAACTCATGAATGAGCTCAAGCAATCCATCCACCTTGGCCTCCCAGAGTGCTAGGATTACAGACATGAGCTACTGCACCCAGCAGACAGCAGATAGATTTACTGTTTTTTTGTTTTTAATTTTATTTAACCAGAGTCAATGTGGAAGACAGATTTACTTTTTGGCAATGATTGAAGTTTATTTAGATTGTTTTACTTTCTTATTCAATTATAGAATAATAAGTAGTTACATGGAATAGCTTCTGATTAAATTGCCAGCCAACAGTGTGTGCAGTGTCAGGGGTGGAGCCTCAGCCTGTAATCCTAGCACTCTAGGAGGCCAAAGCGGGTGGATTGCCTGAGCTCACAAGTTCAAGACCAGACTGAGCAAGAGCGAGGCCCGGTCTCTAAAAGTAGCCAGGGATTGTGGCAGGTGCCTCTAGTCCCAGCTACTTGGGAGGCTAAGGCAAGAGAATCGCTTTAGCATAAGAGTTTGAGGTTGCTGTGAGCTATGATGCCATTGCACTCTACTGAGGGTGACAAAGTGAGACTCTGTCTCAAAAATAAAGAAAAATAAAAAATAAAAAGAGAGACGTTGGGCATGGTGGCTCATACCTGCAATCCTAGTTCTTGGAAGGCCTAGGTGGGTGGATTGCCTGAGCTCATGGGTTCAAGACTAGCCTGAGCAAGAGTGAGAGACTGTCTCTAAAAAATATCTGGGAGTTGTAGCGGGTGCCTATAGTCCCAGCTACTTGGGAGGGTGAGGCAAGAGAATCGCTCAAGCCCAAAAGTTTGAGGTTAGGGCGGCGCCCATAGCTCAGTGGATTGGGCACTGGCCACAAACACCGAGGCTGCTGGGTTCGAACCTGGCCCGGGCCAGTTAAAACAACAATGACAACTGCAACAAGAAAATAGCCAGGCATTGTGGTGGGTGCCTGTAGTCCCAGCTACTTGGGAGGCTGAGGCAAGAGAATCACTTAAGCCCAAGAGTTTGAGCTTGCTATGAGCTGTGATGCCACAGCACTCTACCGAGGACGACATAGTGAGAGTCTGTATCAAAAAAAAAGAAGTTTGAGGTTGGTGTGACTAGTGATGCCACAGCACTCTATGGAGGGTGACACAGTGAGACTCTGTCTTGAAAGAAAGAAAAGGGAAGGAAGGAAGGGAAGGAGAGGAGAAGGGAAAGGAAGGAAGGAAGGAAAGAAAGAAAACTCTTTCCTGAGTGGGTAAACTTTCTTCTGAAGTCTAATGGAACAGTGCACAACTCATACCCAAGGCTCAGCAGGGTAACTTCTCCCAAAACACACGTCTGTGTAATCATCACCCAAGTCAAGAAACAGAACACCCTCAGCACCCAGAATCCCCTTAGTTAGTCTCCCTTAAAGATTTAACTATCCCTCCAAGGGCCCACTCTCTCAGGGCAGGAAGTTTACTTTTTCATGTTTTTGAGACAGAGTCTCACTCTGTAGCCCAGGCTAGAGTGCAGTGCAGTCATCATAGCTTAGGAAGCTTCAAACCCCTGGGCTCACGTGATCCTCCTGTTTCAGCCACCAGAGTAGATGAGATTACTGGATCAAGCCACCACATCCACCTAATTTTTCTATGTTTTGTAGAGATGGGGTCTGGCTGTCTCAAATTCTTGGCCCGAGTGATTTTCCTGCTTCTGCCTTCCAGAGTGCTGGGATTACAGGTATGAACTACCATGCCCGGCAGAGTTTTTTTCTCACATGTTTCTTACTAATATTACAGCAAATATACAACTCCCTTCACCCCCAGGGGCAGAACCCAGAACTCACCTGTTCTTGATGGGACCTCGAAAGGAGGGGTCATATTGGACTGGCTTCCCTGAGAGGAATGGGGAGGAATGTGGAAAATTAGGACTCTGTCTCCCCATATCCTTTCTGGGCAAGACTGGCAGGAGGGGACACTAGAGAACAGGAGAAGGAGGCTCAGCCAGCAGCAGCTCACTGTGAATTCCGCCCTGGCAGCCATGTTGGGAGGGGGATCGGGGACCTTTATAGTTTCCCACTCACACCTCAAGGCTGTCAGCCTGGGAAATGGCCTTGGTCTCTTGCCCCACCCTGACCCATTTCTCCTGAGTATCTCTCCAGCAAGGATTGGGATTCTTGTGTCTCAGAGGCTCTCACACCCTCATCTTCATCCCTTTCCCCTCCCTATGCTCTACTCAGGGATTACTCAGATCCCCAGCCCCCTCCCCACATCTGTCCCACACCCTACCTCTACCCTCTAGCTGGAGGCCATGGGAAAGAAACTGGAGTTGAAGATGTCAACCTTTATAGGGCCTGGGGAAACAGGGGCCCCCTGCAGACCTCCACTTTAGAGGGACCTTAGTCCCTGGGCCACCACTAGGCTCTGGGCAGGCAGTCAGGGTGACACCTGAGCTGGCCTTTGAGATTGTGGCTGCATCCTGTTCCTGGTCCTCCCTGAGTACACACAGGGAGGAGGTGGGGCCAGGCAGCCAGGGTCCTGTGGGAATTGAGGAGGGCAGGCAGAGGCTGGGCAAGAGTCTGGGAAGGTGTGGGGTGGGGTCCTTTCTGCCCAGGTGCTCTGGACTCTGTCCCTCAGTGGCTTATGGACATGATGTCAATAATTGACTCAGAGCTGCTCCAGGAAATCTACCAGGGAGTCCTAGCTGCCCCTTTCTCAAGCCCTAAGGAACTTAAGCCCCGCCTCATGGTGGCCCCTCCTTTGGGGTTTTCTCCCCTCCAGACCAGGAGCTCAGACCTCTAAACCCAAAAGGGCCTCTGTGCCCACAGGGGTCCCAAGCTGATCCTCAGCTCCCTCTCCTCAGGCCCCTGGCCTCTATTCCTCTCAAGAGATTCTGGAAATAAGACTCCCTGCCCTCTCCTCCCTCCGGTCTCACCCTTCACAGGAACCTCAGAAGGCCCTGCCCCTATTCCTCAAAGTACCTTAGGTCCCTACTCCTTGTTCCCAAGAAACTGGAGACAGACTCTTAGCCCCAGCTCCTCACAAGAATCCCCAGCAGAACTCACTCTTCCTGCCACTTTTCACAGAGACCCCAGCAGGAGGGCCACCAGCAGTTTTCTCCCTCAAGGACCAGAGTTCAGGCTGAAACTCCTCCTCATAGGGACTCCAATCTCACCTCTTGCAGGCTCTGCAGCGTGAGCCACTCCCAGCCCCCATCCCATTTTCTTGCTCAGGTCCCTGACCCTGCTCGTCTTTCAAGCTTTGTTTCCCAGGCCTCAGCCCTCAGGGATCCAGGGTCCAGGCTTGAAATCCTCCACCCTTAGGGATCCAGGGTACAGGCCTGAAATCCTCCACCCTTGCAAGGCTCCCAACCCTCCAAGGGATCACAGCCTCAACTCCTCACTGACACCCAGACCTCAGGGCACTTCCCAATGACTCCCCAGCAAAGGCTCCCATCCCCGGAGCCCCATCCTCCTCCCAGGACTCTGACTCCTTCCTTCCTTCTACTCGCGTTTCCCAGCCCACCCTTCAGGGACTCAGGACTCTCCTTATTTCCTCTCACTGGAACCAGCCTCAGCCACCATTCCCGCAGCGGCCCCAGCCTCACCAAAAGCCTCGTCCTCGTCCTGCTTTCCCCCCATGGCTCAGTCTCCGGAGTGATTGGAGCCAGGGAGACCTGGCGTCTCACCTGCCACCGCCCCGCCCTCCCTCACGTCACAGCCCCACCCCCGGCCATGGTCCCCGACACACTCTAGTTCCTTCTTCTCAACTCAGTGCACAGGTGGCTGGGAAGTTGAGCCTGGGACAAGGGCTGCTTGCCAGGGGCGCTGTAGACCACAGTGTGAAGGATCTGGCACACTCCGATAAGAAAACACTTCAGGGCTCGGCACCTGTAACTCAAGCGGCTAGGGCGTCAGCCTCGTACTCTGGAGCTGGCAGGTTCAAATCCAGCCCAAGCCCACCAAACAACTACAACCAAAAAATAGCCACGTGTTGTGGCGGGTGCCTGTAGTCCCAGCTACTTGGGAGCTGAGGCAAGAGAACCTCTTAAACCCAAGAGTTGGAGGTGCTGAGGGCTGTGATGCCATGGCACTCTACGGAGGGTGACATAGTAAGACTGTCTCAAAAAAACAAACAAAAAAACACTTCACAGTCTCAGACGTCATCTGTGGTACACTCTCTTCCCACAAAAATTAAAGGTCAAAATTTGCCTTTATTTAATCCCTTGACCAGACCCTGCCACAGTTGTCCCTCACAACCCTTCCCTCCTACTGGGCAGCTGTCCATGCCTCCACACCTGCTTCCTGTCCCCTCTACCCACATTCCCTCTGGCTGTGTGTGTTTCCTCCTTACCCCAAGACAACAGTTACCCAGTTTATTACCAAACCCAACATTTATTATTGAGAACCAAAGAAACCAGTTGGCATAGAGGCCTGATTTCAATTCATCGAACTTCTGCTGAGGGTGGGGATGGGGGTGGCCAGCCCTGAAGTCACCCTTCCAGGGAGGAGCCAGCTCTGGGAGAGAGGGGCTGTCAGACCTCCAGGGCCTGGCTGGGGTCTCTGGTTGAGGAATGTGTTAAGGAGTAGTGGGGAGAGAGGATGGTGGCACCCCCAGGTGTGGCTGTGAGCAGCAAGTGGCAGGGGAGGCTGCTGAGCCAGTGGTCAACCAGGCTGGGAAGGGAGAATGTGGTCCGTTTTCAGGTGTTGACAGGGGGCAAGGAGCCAAGCTCAGGCAGCAGTTCAGGGTGGGGGTCTAGGCGGGCCAGGCGGCTCTGTTCCAGGGCAATAGCTTCAGCTGAATGCTTGCACTTTTCGGAACCACACTGGCAGGTGAAATATTTGCTTTTGATGTCCCAGAAGCGGTCGCCATAGTCAAACCTGTCAGGAGCACACGAACTTGTGGGTCTGAACCCAGCCATCCAAAGCCACCCCACAGACCTTGTGGGTCCTACTCCCTAGGAAGAACCCACCCTCACCTTCTCCAGATGGATCCTAAGCCCTCGTATTTTCTACACACTTGCAGCACCAGCATCACCTGGCAACCTTTCAGAAATAGACTCTTGGCCCCATCTCAAACCTCCTGAATCAGAATCTTGCAGAGAGGCTCAGGACTTTGTTTCAACACGTGGTCCACACTGAGAAGCTCTGCTTTCATCCATGCTTGGAAACCAGGCACTCTCTAGCCTTTGGGTCTCAAGCTTGCGGCATCCCCCACCCCTGGCAGAGCACCTGGAGTCTTACCCTAGCTCCTCCCCAGTACGGATGTCTCGGGAACTGAAGAAGGCAATTCGTGGAAATCGAAGGTCTTGGTGCAGCATGAAGACCCGGACGGGAATGATGTTGGGGTCACACAGGTGGTTGATGAAGCGGCTGATGTTGCCATAGTAACGGGCATCAATGCAGTATACTTCTCCATCCTGAGAGCAAGGTGTCACTCTTCAGGTCTACCCCTGCCCAGCCTAGTTGGCCAACCTCCCTATCCACTGAGCAGTCCTTCCTCCCGGGTTTCTATTTGCTGACTTCCAGAAACCCAGTCACTGGGAGCAGGGGGAAAGGGGGTTTCCTGCCCACCTTGTTGTCTAAGTCAAAGAGATAAGAATCATCCTCTCTCACATCAGCCTCTGCATCGGAGATCAGCTCCCCAACGTACCTATTGAACAGGAAGTGATGTTCGGCAGGTGAGTGGGGTCTCTCCTCATAAACCCCAGAACCCTCTACCACTATTCGTCAACCACCCTGTCACTATCCACAAACTTCCCAAACTTCAAACCATAGCAGGCCCAGGGGAGAGGATCAGGAAGGGGAACATGAAGACACAGGCATGTGAGGGACAACACAGGGTGTAATACTGCCAGCTGGGGTGACAGGCAGGGCTGGCAGGTGTGGGTAAAAGACGACCTGCGGAAGCAGCTGTGGGCAAGTTAAAGGGTAGCATTCTGGCCTTGGCCTGGAGCCAGCATGCAGACAGACACTGAACCTCTGGTTAGAGAGGACTGACATCTAACAGTGGGTGGCTTAGGTAGGGATGGTGGGGACATCTGTTCAGATTTAGACATAGGGTTTGTATACTAGAAACCACCAAGAAGGATGGGTGCTGCAGGGCTGAAGGATAGGAGGGACTAAGAGCTACTGAAAAAAAAAGGACCCCTTTCCTAGAGATAGAGCTAGAGGAGCAAGGAGGAGCTCAGAGCAAGTCAGGGGTAAGGGACAGCCACATGTGGACAGCAGTGGGTAAGGAGGAACCAGTTGTCTAAGAGTGGGTAAACAGAAGCCAGGAGAATGAAGACCAAGACATATGGAACAGGCACTGTGGTGGTGTGACTGAGGAGAGGCAACATCAGCAGATGGGGGCAAAGGCTGATTTTTTCTGGAGACAATCTTACTTTGCTACCCTGGGTAGAATGCTGTGGCATCACAGCTCACAGCAACCTCAGACTCTTGGGTTTAAGTGATTCACCTGCCTCAGCTGCCTGAGTAGCTGGTATTATAGGTGCCCATCACAACACCCAGCTATTTAAAAATTTTTTTTTTTTTTTGGTAGAGACAGAGTCTCACTTTTTTGCCCTTGGTAGAGTGCAGCGGAGTCGCTCCAGCAACCTCCAACTCCTGGGCTTAGGTGATTCTTCTGCCTCAGCCTCCCAAGTAGCTGGGACTACAGGTGCCCACCACAATGCCGGGCTATTTTTTTTTGTTGCAGTTTGGCCGGGGCTGGGTTTGAACCCGCCACCCTCGGTATATGGGGCCGGTGCCTTACTCACTGAGCCACAGGCGCCTCCCTAAAAATTTTTTTGAGACAGTCTCACTTTGTTGCTGTCAGTAGAGTGCCATGGCCTCATAGCTCACAGTAACCTCAGACTCTTGGGCTCAAGTGATTCTCCTGTCTCAGCTTCCCAAGTAGCTGGTATTACAGGGACTCACCACAACACTCAGCTATTTTAAATTGTTTTCTTTTAGACAGTCTTACTCTGTCAACCTGGGTAGAGTACTACGGCATCATAGCTCACAGCAACCTCTTGGGCTCAAGTGATCCTCTTGCCTCAGCCTCCCAAGTAGCTGGGACTGTAAGTGCCCACTACAACCCCTGGCTATTTTTAGAGACGGGGTCTCGTTCTTGCTCAGGCTAGTCTTGAACCTGTGGGCTCAAGCAATCCACCTGCCTTGGCCTCCTAGTGTGCTAGGATTATAGGTGTGAGCCACTGTGCCCAGCCTTGATTTTGGCAGAAATGGGCACGTAGTGGATGGTGGAGAAGCTGAGGCCCAGCAGGAAGGGGCTGCTTATCTGACAAGCTGAGAGATGATATGGTAGAGTGATAAGAAATTGGCCCTTGGACAGGCAAATGGGACTAAAGGGCTGGTTTATTCTGCAAAGGTCAAAAGAGACCTAGGTAAGTCTTAGGGAGACAAGGTAGGAGGAGCCAAGGAAAAAGGGGGAGATTACAGATGCTTGGGAGAGAAATGGTGGAGAGGGACAGGCTTCTGACAAGGTGGACAGAAAGGTAACTGTTATTACCATTTTACAGACAAGAAAAATAAGGCTCAAAGAGGTTAAGTAACTTGGCCAAGACACACATCAGCAGAGCAGAGCTTAAACCCAGGCCTGTCTGTCTCCAAAACTGGTGCTTTTCCCAGAAAGAAAGGGTGGGGAGAAAGTGTGTGAGGCCTGGAAATACACAGAGAAGGTTACAGGAAGACAGACTCTGTGGTCTGGGCAGAGTGGAGGCAGGCATGGTCCTCTGCCATAGGCATGAGGGTCAGAGGAATCTGGTAAGAGACTGGGCAGGAGGAGAGACATGACCCATAAGGGCTAGGCAGAGGAAGGGCTGGGAGTCACTGGTGGCTATGTGTCCCCCTCCAGGTGCCAAGGTGTCCCTGTAACTCACTCGCAGATGAAGGTCCCCTGGGGGATGGTCTGTAAGGCACGGACCCCCCAGCCCATCTTGGCTGTTCTGTAGAGTTGCAGCCGTACCCTGGGGTGAGACAGGGGATGCTGTTAGATGGAGGTCATAGAAAAGTCCCAAGGGAAGGGCAGAGGGGGTGAGGTTGGGGGACCTGCAGGAGCAGGGCCTCACTTGATGCCGCTCTGCACAACACGGTTCTTGCAGTTTCTCCAGCAGGAGCATGCCTGGTTACACTCGAAAATCAGGGGGGGCTCAATCTTGTTAAATTCCTGGAGCAGCCGCCCGTCCTGGGATGTGGAGGGAGGGGAGTACAATGGTTTCTCTGGGGAGGGGCACCTCAGCTGCCCAGGAACCCCAAGATGCTACAGAAAAATCCACTGCTGACCCCAACCCAGAGACAAGGAGGATGGGGTGGGTGGGGAAGGCCACATAAACCCTGAGATCAGACAACAGGAAATACACAAGCATTGCCCTTGATTTGCATAGAGGTGAGAAACAAGGTCCCAGGATACTGACATGAAGCTAGCTGCTCTGAAAGAGTGGCCAAGCATTGTGGCCAGGCAGGGGGCATGTACCTTGTCATACCAGCACCGGATGCTGAGCTGGCCACACAGGCAGTTGGAGCTGGAGCAGTCGTCCACACATGTGCAATGCTGGGACAAGGAGGCAAAGAGTCAGCTTGATCCCCAGAACTGGTCTTGCAGGGCTCTCTAAACCCCTCAAACTGTCCTTCCTTGGGTC